ACACAGTACATTTCAATGTTAACAAAAGCACACAGAAGCTGTATATGTTTTGTGGGAGTTTGATTTATTTTAAATTAACACAAATACAAAATTAAAACCTATAATTGCACACAAACCATTATAAAAAAACAAACTATTTCACATAAACCTCTGGTTTTTGCTGGGACAGTTCAACTTGATTGGGGGGGGTGGCGCTGTACGCAATATAGGCCTAGTTCTGTTAGTATAAGATAATAAGTATGTACTTAGTTGATCCAAAATCGGGAAATTGTGTTATGAAATAAAAAAAATGTCTAACTTTTTTTTTTTTTTTCAATTTTTGGCGCCCCCGATGGGTGGATGCGCCCTTAGCATTCACCTATACTGCCTATGCCAAGGGCCGGCCCTGGTTAAGAATAACAGAAGTTACTTGGAGGAACCCTATTGTGCTCCTTTTCTGGTTCACATTTGTATTTTTACTGTTTTCATGCTTTAATCTCATACTGCCGATGCTGCATGCAGAATAGTGGTTGACAAATTGTGAAACAAATCATCTGACATTGTAGTTTCTTTTTTAACTTCGCCCCGCTCGACACTTTGCTTGATTTCAGAGCCTTAAATATGTCGGACAGATTTTCCCAGTGAAAAACAGGCTGTATGCTACATTAAGCCTTGCTCGTTTGTACTGTTTTAGGGAGCACTACACTCTTGCTTTCTCCTTGCTTTTCAAGGATCATTGCTCACCATTGCATGTGGTTTTGTAATTTACAGGCTGTGTGTGTGTGTGTAGCGTGGCTTTACTGAAAAGCTGTCATCGCCGAAACTCCCTCGGCACGTGCGGCTTGTTTGTTTTGAGCCAGGCACTTTGTCTTGTGTTTGGGTGAAAGTGAGGTCGGTGTCTGCGGCCCTGCTGGGAGCCCACAGGCATCTGTTGTGTTTGCCTCTTTGCCAAACACCGTTCTTGTACTCGCACGCATACACACACACACACACACACACACACACACACACACACACACACACACACTAAAGAGCCTCACACTCTGGCATACCACCAGTTGCTCAGCATGTGACCTTGCTGGATGGAAATGTGGGGCACGTCACCTGACCAAAGTCTCCGTAGCCTTCATGCTGTGAAAGTTGCCTAGTCAGCCGTTTCCCCTTCTTTATCCCACTGACAGTTTTATATTGATGTGAATGTGCGCAGGGAAATTAACACCAGTCTTGAGGCAAGTTTTGCAATCTATATCCTCATACGGTTTGCAAGCTAGGCAAATGAGTTGGCAAAGCTGAGTTGCTAAGTTGTGGAAAGCCAGAAAACTTTGTACGGGTCCTGTTTGGGAGTCATTGGATTTTCTTCAAAAAAATGTAAAAGTTGTTCTTTGTTCGAGATTTTCCTACGCTTTTATACACTACTTTTATCATTTATATTAAAGTGCCTCTGGGGTTTTCCCTTTTCTGTTGTGTTTCTATAGGTTTTTGTGCGTGTTAATGGCCTGCAAAGACTGGGGAGGGAGTTTCTCTCAAGCTAACAGCAGTATGTGGAAAAAGAAAGACCGTTTTGAGCATTACAGCATGTACATTTTGGAAAAATCTTTCCTCAATTTATGACCAGTAATTTAGGGCTGCACTTTTTGGAAAATGTGCAATTATTTCTGAGTAATATTGTGAATCACTTTGCAATTGCTTTATCAGAGGGAATCTTTTTTAATTTTTTTAATCACTTTATTCTCAATCATTATGTTGAAATGATAGTTTCTTAAGATGATCTGTAAAGGATTAGGAAAGGTTTAGGGTTATTTTAATTCTGTAGAATACGGTCTTTATGACTTCTCTGCAGCTCCACAATGACCTTTTTTAATTTAATACGTTTTTATCTTATTTGATCATTTTGCTCACATTTGTACCTATGTTAATATAACTTATTCTTCTTTATTCAATCTAAATGGACCGAGTGTCAGGAAACCAATGTCCCCTTGCAATTATGAAAGTATTTCTGATTCCTATATTTTCTCCCATTAGCCTTTACCAAATAATGCTCTAAATGCGATTTGGATATTGCACTACTCCATATTAAAAAGATGAATCGTGCAGCCCTAGTTTTACATCATAGTGATGCAAAAGTTGACCTCCTCTCGTGTTACAGAATTATTATACCCTTACAGAAACTCCTTTTTATCCACCATAAGTTTAACCGTAAAAGTTTCTCAATTCATGATCAGTCATTTGTCCGCCTGAGCCGAAAGCGCATTGTCATGGTTGCTGTTAATTTCCCACGAACCTACTCGCACTGGTTATTAAAAACCACCCTCTACCGCGTGTTGCTTTAAACCGCCTTGTATTGTATGCATGCGCCTCTCGACAGCGTTACCCAGCAGCCCTTGCAGCTGTCCGTCATGTTAAGTGGCGTTTACAGTGTCTGGGATAGTAGCTGTCGGAGGCGAGAGCGAGGAAGGTGGAGGAAGCTCGGCCTGCCTCAGCAGACCTGACAGTGATGGATGTGGTGATTTTACAGGGCTATTTCTGGACTCTTGTGTGTATGTGCGAGAAAGCGAGAGCGAAAGGAAAAAGCTATCAGCTAATGTTCTGTATTCTGACTGTTCACCTCAATTTAAGTCTATTTATTCTCCAGCAAATAGCCGGGAAAGTAAACAAACGCATTGCTTGATTGGGTTTGGCAGCCTGCGTGTTTTCGCTCAATGCAGTTTGATTTTTATGAGTTTTTCTCTTATTGTGGAGAAGCCCGAGGACATTGAGGCGGAGGTTTTGGCATTCGCCTATCGGGGGGAATGATTCAGTGAGAATTCGATAGGAACATGAAGGTTTTTGTGAGCGTACATTCATAGAGGGGGTCAGAGTAAATGCTTTGGGTGAAAGTGTAAGCGTTGTGAGCTTCGTATCTAGAAGCCTTAGGGAAGCACTAAAATAAAAGTGCAAGGCTGTCCACAGCAGCGTCTCCAGCTACATCCTCAGAACAGATGGCACTATAAAGCTCCATGAATTTAAAATACAATTACTTGCCTTTGGTACCACAGACCGTGTTGAATAGTGTTACTCCCTAAGCCCAAACGTGGTTGATTATCAGTTGCTCTGGGACTCAAAATAAATGTAATACAGGCTGAACGTTTGTAAAAAAACACAACATAATGTTGTTCTGAATGTGACACATTATAAAGTTCACTTTTATACCTCCCTGGCAGTTAACATACTCTTTTATTTATGTTAAAGCTAATTTTCAGGTTCATATTTATATTATGTTCCTCTACTTTAGCATGTTTCATGCTTTAACGTTCTAAAAGCTCTTTATTGTTCTCATACTGCCTGTGCGGCATCACTTCTTTTCACCCTCTGTCTGAAACCAGAGCCCAGTCTGCTCTGATTGGTTAGCTGGCCGGCTCTGATGTGATTGGTCAACAGCTTAGAAATGTCCCGCCCCTTAACACATACAGTATATCGGAGCTACATAGTCGACCGTAATGTTTGAAAACTTGTAGCCGACTGAATGAGAAGCTTGTATTAAAACTAAATCCAGCTTACATTGAGCTTGAAGCTAGGTGGGAAAACAGCTTACATAAATGTCTCAGCAGAAAATTCTCCATTGATATAATGGGGTGGCACCGTCTGACTAGGGCTGCTCAATTAATCGCAATTACGATTATGGCTTGCAACGCTTACGAAAACAACGTAATCGAAATAAACGATTTTTATTTTTTACCATTATTACTTCTTTTTTTCAAAAAAAATGTTTCAATTTTTTTTATTTTTCAGTTGAATTGTACTTAAAGTTCAGGGTAATCAACTGTTAAAAACATACTGTTGAAATGTTTTTCTCCAATAAATTGATGTTTTCAAAGTAAATGGATTATCGTTTTTAATTATCGTGATATCAATTATTGACCCAAATAATCGAGATTATGATTTTTGCCATAATCGAGCAGCCCTAGGTCTGACTTCAGTTTATTGTTCAGAAATTGCAACTTTTAGGCTCACCACAGGATACAGTGCTTCTTTATTGCTGTTGTGTTTAAAGTAGGTTCTGAATTATGTTTTGGTATTGCTCTAAATAACTATTACATCTAGGTAATACAGTTTGTACTGAATAACATAAACGGCAAATGTTAATGTTTCTCTTTCCATGTGGAAATTAATTCGTAGAGACTTGTTGGTTGATATTTGGTTTGCCACAGAACTTTACGCAATATTCACTATAGCATGATATTTATTATCATAAAATATGTATCAACATATACTGTGCCAGAGTAGATCCATTTTGCCAAACCCTACTTGTATGTGTATTTGGGGTAAATGAATCCTCGCCCTTTTGTTAAACACTCCTACCAATCAGTATAGGAGTAATTCGAAAAGCTTTGCACACTGGGGCTCACCATGCAGGGCTGCTGTGTAGTTAAGCTAACAGATGAGATGTAGACAGTAGAGCTGGCAGTTTAAACTGTCACATAACCTGCAAAAAGAAGCAGTGACTTAGCAAGCGTTGGTTGCAGACCTGTTTTT